TTTCAACAATCAGGACGGCTTATATTCCTTCTGTTGTTTGCGCCCACAAAGATGATGGAGATAACAATATAGGATATACCAGTATATATGGTGGTGTGTGTGTGTGTGTGTGGTGTTGTAGTCTGATCCATAGTAGATCAGTAAGTTGTAGCCAGCCGTCCCCCTGGTGAGAGATCGCATCAGGAAGGAGAAGCAGCCAGTTAGCAGTACAAAGGTCCAGAGCTGCTAAAACCCGGCTGGAAAACAAGCCTCCCCTGAGCCCCCTCTGAATAATTGGCAAGAGAAGTGTTAGAAGGGGGAGCCGGATTAACCGCGGTCAAAGTCCCTGCTGGCAAGCCGAAGGCCACAACCAAACTAATGCAGCACGTGAAGGACCAAACCGCGGAGGCGAGGAGACGGCGTTTAACAGGAAGGGAAGATTTCACAAAACACAGGACTGACATCCCTTCATCATCATCCATCCATCAATCCACATCATCATCATCTTCATCTCATCATCATCTTCATCATCATCTTCATCATCATCTTCATCATCATCAGCTTCAACCTCAAACATATTCACACACACAACAGCAGGCTGGACCTCCTCCTAAAACATTACCCAGAATCCACAGCACAGTGAAAAGGCCTCCGCACCAGGAGGGTTTCAAGGTCGCCGACCACGTGATCCCGCGCCCTCTGTTGGCCGCAGTAACCACCAAATAATGATGGGTTGGGTCGAGGTGGCGTGTCGGCGTGAGACGGCGGTCACAATAACTGGTGATTAAAGATGACTGCTGCTAAAATACCCCCGCTCCCCCCCCCCCCCCGCCGCACAACCAGAGGTCAAAGTTCAGTCCTCACCAAAGCTCAGTTACTGTCAGTGTTCCTGCTTCCTGCCGTCTGTCTACAGTCCAGACAGACCGACCCAGTCCAGCTACCGACGGGGGAACCGGTTCCAGAAGCAGAGATAATCTGGTGGAAAAGTGTCACCAGTTGGAGAACCAGTACAAAAAAACACCTGTTAACAAATAAACACTGGAGAGCTTTTATTCTGAAATTGATACAGGAAGTGTTGATGTGTGACATAATCTACAGGAACTGTAGTGAACGATGTGAAGTGTTCTAGTTTTCTGGGAACCCCGAACCAAACAGATGCAGACGGCGAGTCCGTTTTAAAGTCCAAACAGAGCGAATATTTCTAATGCAGCTAATGCAAAGCAACAAGGCGCTTCATGCAGAGGTCAGTTAGACGACAGGTCAGTTAACTGTGTAACAAACAGCTCCTCTGAGGTCCACACTGTGTATTTAACTACATATCAGTGGTGTTTAACTCTTCTTTAGATGTATATGAACCTAGAAATATGATGCTTTCATGGATTTATAGACTTCCATCAACTTCCCCCCCGTATGTAAACGCTGCTCGTCTCCTGCTGTTGACCATCGTCTTCAAACTGGTTCCATCAGACTCCAGACAGTGAACTCTTCATCAGGTTTCTTTAACAAATGAAATCAACGATACAGGACGACATCAACTTCATTCATAGTCCTTCAGTAACGTCTCACACAGTCTCAGTCCATCACACAGACAGTGGAGGTTCATTAAGGGTTCAGAAAGCACTGAGAGCTGAGGGAGGACATAAAATACTACACAATGCAGGACAACGTAGATTATTTCCAGCAGGATATTTGCTCATTTTAATCATTTTCCAGGTGTTTCCAGGACGACTGGGAAACAGTTTATTTACAGATGTGAACCACAGTCACCTGCAGGATGGGATTATTCATCGATCTTTATTTCATATTTAATGCTTGTTCAGACAAAGAATTATCAAAAAGTGTTTACTTATCTTAAGATTTCTTACTTTTATCAAAAAAAATATTCATTTCCAAAGAATCTGAAACAGAATAGAAAGTTAACTCATTCAATTCTAATCTATCTTTAATCTATATTCTGTCCATCGGCTGCTTTAAAGGGCTAAATGGTGTCAACTTCAAAGCCTGTTTGCTGAGAGGAATAAAGTCTGTAAGAGACGGAATCTGAGCCCGCGAGAGGGAGCGGCTCCTAAACGCTCCGAAAACAAGGGTTTATGGGTAGAAAGATACAGATGTTGACATTCGATAGCCGGCGGTCGGTTTGAGAGACGGAGGGAAACGATGCGACTCAAAGCGCCGCCATCGACTTCCTGATGAAGACCATGTGATAAAGTGGCTGATTCCAGATCAGTTTTCAGTCTGTGGAAGAAAAACAAACTCACAGTATCTGATGAGTCCACGAGACTCTGTTTACCAACAACAACCACAACCACAACAACAACAACAACCACAACCTCAGCTCCTTCCAGGATGTTTCAGAGACCACAACCCCCCCCCACAGCGAGGACGCCGGGCTCGCAGACGGGCGTGTAAGTCGACACTCTTCATCACCATCATCAGGAGGCCGCGGTCTGCTCGGTGCAGCGTGACTAATTCAGCTCACATTCCCCTCATTACAAAGGCGGGCGGAGGGGAGGGGGTCCCGAACTCGAACCCCTCCGTAACCTCCGCCGTTATATAATGACCTCCTTCATCACCTGTGATGAGGAGGAGGAGGAGGAAGATGCTGCGTTCAGCCTCGGAACCAAACCGCTCACATGTTGCCTCATAAACAATCCTGGAGACAGAAAAGAGCCAATCGGGGCCTTTGTGGGCGGGACTTCAGTCAGTGATGTAACAGAGACGTGAGGGTCACGAGAGCTTCAATCAGCCCCCGAAACCATCTGAGTGAGCCCGAACCCAAGAGTTTCAAACCCTTTACTACAAAGTAAGATAATCTCCATTCTGTAAATACTAACAATACTAACAATAACAATAATAACAATAATAATAACAATAATAATAACAGTGTAAATTATAACTAATCTATACCAATTAACTAACAGCTGCATGTGTTATTACTAAATTATGACTCATATATATATATATATATTTTATCATATTCTGTCCCGACATTGATCAGGATGTCAGTTCATATGTCGACAGTTGTTTGTGGTCACGTGATAACACGCCTCCTCTGTTGTTGTTGTTGTTGTTGTTGTAGTTGTTTACTTCAGGCTGCTGTGAGCTAACTTGTATTTTAATGGAATTAAAGAGAATGTAAGAATGTGAATCAACAGACAGAAAACCATCTTTAAAGGTCTCAGCAGCTCTTCCTTTAATCCACCGTCCAATCAAATGAAATCCATCAACAAAAGCTCATTTACAAAAGCTTTGGACCAACGTTAAGTATCAGACACATTAAATACATACATATATACACACATATATATATTCTCTATGAAGAATGAATTATCACTTTTCTGATTTGGTCAATTATTCTCTTTAAATCTGCTCGTTTATGACGCAGAGAGCATCAAATAATCCAACTTTTAAATGTTTTCCGGGTTATATTCTGCCTCAGTTCCACTCAGACAGTCGTGTGACGGATTCTTTATGTGCCGAACTTCAGAATTTACCCTCTTTATTAAACATATGTGTTGAACCCTTATTCATATATATATATTTGCCTCTAGTGGATATCACAATGTTAAATTGACAGAATTTTAAATGAAGTCTGGTGCTGACAAAGCTAAATCCAAGCATGGGGGCAATGAAGGCAGTTTTCTGTTGTTATTGTATCAACTATATCGTACAGGAGCTCATATTCCTGCACATATACACACAATATATGGACATTCCCAAACTCTAACAGCCAGAAAACACTTCCAGGAATTCCCTGACTGAACGTCTCTCCCTCCTCCAGCTGCTTCCTCCTCCTGTATACAGCCACCTCACAGTTCATCACTACAGGCTCCCAAAAGTCGTCTAATGTTCTCAATCCTCGGCTCTTAAGTGGATGAAGATGCACATAAACAGCTTATCCTTGAATAAGACACTTGGACGCGAGCCGCTACCCAGGATGCCAAGCACATTTCACTGGTCCCATCCCTGCAGCCACAGACGCAAACAACTTCACACCAATTAGTTTTAATATGTAAGAAAGGACGAGTTCCTGAGGAGGACTCTGACCTCGGCCGGTTACAGTACGAGCTGCTTCCTGCTGTGACATAATGCAAATATAAATCCATAAAAACACAGATATATGGCGAGGAGCAAAAGTCAAAGTGCATCCGGAAATCAGGAATGTGCTGATCAGAAACACATCGTCCCCCACTGAGTGTCAGCAGACTGAGAGCTCCGGCTGCTTTTAAAGGAGCATAATGGAGGTTTAGGAAGCTCAGGACAAACACAATAAGCACCGAGAGCTCTTATGTAATCATTGCACACAGATAAAACCACAGCCAGCTCCTTGCTGCGTCCACTCAGTTATTACTACCTCCAGCATCATGGCAGTCAAACCCACCAACACCCTCGGCTTCTTTTTCTTATGCAAAGCATGTCCATTGATTCCCAGGCTCCCTGTGTGTGTGTGTGTGTGTGTGTGTGTGTGTGTGTGTGCAGGCCGCAGCCAGCCTCACATTGTGGGAATCTGACATATTGCTGCTGCTGCTGTACAACAACACATCCTCTCATGTCATGAACGCACCACTGAGTCCTGCTCCCTTTATAAAGTCCCTCTGATGCTACGAGGCTAAAATGCTGCCCGGACGCACAACCGAACCTCATTCACAAAAGCTCGGTTTTAGTGGAGCAGCGCTGTGTATGAGCCACATATATTCTCTATGAAGAATGAAT